CTCAATCCAATCTAACATTTTTTTCTTAATTATGTTTTATTTTTACTTTATTTCTTTAAAAAAACAAATAACTTTATGAATACATGGACACCATCGATTTGAAATAGTATGACACGTACAGTTACCACACTGCATCGAGTGAATCGAAAATTCAAAACTAACTTTTAAAAAATATCGGCGAGTGACTATTTGTTGTTTTATTACCTATTCTTAATCTTTTTTAAATATAAAATTGAATATTGAATTGTTTTTCTCAATCTAGTCGGGACTATTATTATGAGAAAATTTATATCATCAAATGACTGACACAATCCATGTGAGGAATTACTATTATTATAAGAAAATAGTGTGTGGAACTTATATAATCAAATGACTACAACAATGATCTATTGGACTTATATATATATATATGTGTATATCTTTTTATATAATAATGTATCTTTATTACATCTTTTGAACTTCAAAATAAACCACTACACTCACATACAAAATATTATTTATAATTCGAGTTCATTTTTTTTTAATATAATTTTGTTTTGAATTGGTAGTGAAGTCGGAAGTCACATACAATGTCCATTTTATTTGTCACATAAAAATTAAAAGTCACATAAGAAGCAATGCAGCATTGCATAGCGCGCGAGCTTTTTTCTTGGAATATTTAAGGTGTCTTAGATATAAGTTTGTGATTGGATATTTTGATTTTGATTGTGTTAACCATAAATAATTTTTTAAAAAAAAATTGTTGAGTTAGATTTGAGTGAGATTTAAAGTTTGTATCAAAATAATATTTAAAATAAAATAATTAAAATTGATTTGATATAAAAATAGGAGAGTTGTAACTGAAAGTAATGAGTAGTTAAAATTATGTAAGTGAATTGTGGATGAATATTGAATTAAAGTAGATATTATGTTTATGGATGATTGATTGATATTATTTAATTATATTGATGATAATGATGCTAGTGTTGTTGAGTTAAATTTGAGTTACATTTTGATTATTTTTTAATAGAAAAAAAGTGATTGGATATTAATTGGAAAATTTACAACACATTTCAACATAAATACAAGCACAAATAGCTTACATACCTGATTATTTTCATACTTATAATTACTTTAAGTTATTTTATCATAGAAAAATATATTGTAATTTGTCATACATGTCACGTGAGAAGCAATGCACCATTGCATAGCTTGCGAGTTTTTTTATTGGAATATTTAACATATTTCAACATAAATACAAGCACAAGTAGTGGACATGCCTGGTTATTTTCAGACTCATAATTATTTTAAGATATTTTATCATACAAAAAAATACTGCTATTTTAAATATGTTTTCAACATGTGATCATCTGTCAATATTTCATTATTTTAAACGACATTTTTTCACCTCATAACTAACTATTAAACGACATACTATTTCCACAAATATATATATTTTCATTATAAAATATCACATTTAAAAAACGAAACAAAATAACGACATTTAAGAGTATAAATATAAATATACATTTTAAAAAAATGACGGGTCAACCACTCACACAAGAATATGCAGAAAACTTATATAGCAATATCCCTACCCAAATGAAAAGTATCTGGAAATCTATCAATAATCAATCAGAAACATTTACTTTATTTGGAGAGAGAATTTTCAAATCCATTTAAGATGAAATTCCATCAGAAAAAACAAGCTAAATATAAACAACCCAAGACAGTTTCAAACATAGGAAAGAGATATATTTTTTTTTTTTCATGCTTTCTTTCTTTTATTCCCAATCAGCAGTGCCTAAAATTCTGGGTTCAAGCATCTTCTTCTTCTCAGATGCTGCAATTCTTGAAAAAGTACAACTGTACAAATGCCAATGCACTAAGAACAAACTTCTGTAGCAATATCCAACCATCAGCCTTTTCTTTTTCCCCACCAGAATTGTCACAGCAACTAGCCGTTATTTTAAATTCGTACCCGAAAATCGTCTGACCTGTCGAGAATCTTCTAGAATGTGAACCGGCCTTTTTTCTTTTCGAAAATCATTTTTTTGGGGAGGTTCGTTTTTATGCTGATTGAAAAGTCACTTGGCCAGCAGATGTCTGTTGATAGTCGGCACACGCTTCTGGTGTGTCTTCCTCACTAGGTGGGACGAGTTGCCAAAAGAGCGGCAAATATTTGTCCCAATCTTTAAGAATTTCCGAGCCTTTGTCGCTACCCGTTTTATCCTAGCACACAACAAAATATAAGACCTTGTCAGGAAAAACCGAAAAAAAGATTGTTTTTTTTTAAGGGAAAAAATCAAACTTGGCTAGGATGGTAAATCATTCATCTGTTCCTTATTTGAAAGGTGAAAGGATAGGAAAAACCGAAAAAAGATTGTCTTTTGGAAGTGAAAGAATAAAACTTGGCTAGGATATCAAATCAATTATCTGTTCCCTATTCGAAAGTTGAAAGGATAGGAAAAACCGAGAAAAGATTGTTTTTTGGAAGTGAACAAAATCAAATTTGGCTAGGATTGCAACTCAATCATCTGTTCCCTATTCGAAAAAATTTGTTCCCTATTTGAAAGGTGAAAGAATCAATGTGCCGAATCACGACACAAAATGCAATTGTATCATAATTTTTTTTTTCAGTTCACAATTTTAGATGGTAAGAGTATGTTTTGTGTACTACTTACAACATGGGCTTCGATGAGGCTCTTAAGCTGCATTTGGCCGACTGGGGCAACGACTCTCTGAATCTTGACTATTTCCTTGTTCACCTGTTTATCATTAAAAAGGAATGCATATAGTATATTGGTGTTAGTTTAAGATCATTTTCAGGACTCAAAAAACAAAAAAAGCAAAAAAAACAAAAACAAAACAAAAACCAACCGACACTTCTGACTGATTTTATCTACCTATGTAGAGAAAGTGATGTATTGTAGCAGAAAGAAACAGACCACTTAAGATAAATCATAAATTTGCTGTGTTGTTTGCTTGAAGAATGAAGATCAAGTTGCAAAATTGTCATATCTAGTGGAAATACAAATTATTTT